CAGAAAACCCAAAATTCCTATAGCAAAAAACTCTCTTAAAAAAAAAAAAAAAAGAAGAAGAAGAAGATTCAAGCAGTGACTGGCCAGATAGGATTCAGCTCCCAGTGCACTTAGCCATTGCACTGTGGGGCTAGTCCCTGAGGATGATAGTTTTTAAAATGCTCCTGTGACTATTTGATTCTTTGAGTTTAATGTGCTTCCCTGTTTAGTAGCTGAGAATACCCAGCCGTCCAAAGCAGTTGGAAGTGGTTCCCGACTGAGTGAGAGCAGCAGCAGCAGCAGCAGCAGCAGCGTATCAGAGTCTGAAAGTAGCAGCAGTGGTTCAAGCTCTTCAGACAGCAGCGATTCCGAATCAGGTTAGCCGCTCCCTTAAGTGTATCTCTGTCAGTGGGAAATGTTTTCTCTTACAACATTGAGACTCATATTTTGAAGAAATATTCGCTGCTTGCCCAAAACCTGTGTTTTAGATGCTGTACCTACTTAATTGCATGTAGACGTTTGTGTTTGCTTGTTTTTATCTTCTTGTTTTTTACATGTAGACAATCTTTCTTTAAGAAGATACTGTGTAAAATGAAACTTACTACAAAATGTGACTTACAGATTTGTAATATTTTAAATGAGTTTACTCAAGGTGATACAGTCTATTAATAAATAATACCATCTCGTAATACCAGAAAATACCAGATATTGAAATACTGATCTTCACTTATTTTTTTAAATAAAACATTATTTGAGGGCACTTTCATGTTACTCTCCTTGATATTTAAATCACTCTAATGTGAATTGAGTAATCTTTTGAATTAAGAAATCCATCATCTCAAACTATAGAGCAGATTTTTTTCACTTCTGTTTCTTTATTATAGAATATTTTCTTCATCTATAGAAAAGTGTACTTCAAATTTCGAGGACCCGTTATGCTAAAATACCATATTACCTTATGTAGTTTATAGTTGTATCAGGCTAAGGTCATTTGTGTGTTATTTGGTGCTTATTCACTAGCAGTTACATAGTTACAAGTAATCACTGCTTGGATGATTGGCAGTGGCATTCCATCATTACTGACCAAAAGACATATTTAAAAAGGAGGGTACTTTTGTCCCTACAATTTATTTTGTTTTCAATAAGATATTTCTCTTTTTAAATTTTGCTATAGGGTGTGTGTGCTTTCTGAAGGGAGACAGAGAGAGAGAAAGTGAGAAAAGTGACAAAGCACCCCTTGGCAGTGGGGATGGCCACACCACAATCCCTTCTTTTCCTTTCTCCTCTTGGTATTTTGGGTTCGCACACACATGAGCCCAGCATATTCAAGCCGCCAGGTCTGAGACTTGAACCACACGGTGTCAGAAATGTGAGATCCAGTTGCCTTAACCACCATGCCATGGACTGGCCAAAATAAGATATTTCTTGTTGCAAAATTCAGTTCTCTTTTAAAAAACATCCCACACAGAATATTGTGACATTAGCAATTTTTAGCATTTGTAAGAACAGTTCTCTTTTTTTAGTCTATAAGGCCTGCAGTACATTCTATTTCATTTTTGGTTTGTTTAGTTTGCACTTATGTAGTGTTGATTGCTGCATTTTATTTTTAACGTATCAAAAATATACTATCAAACATTTTTATAAAAATAAACAATTCTTGCTTTTGTTAGAATTTGTCATACTAGAAAATTTAAAATTAACTCAGGGTTCCAATTACCTAGTATTTCATTATATTTTATTTCTAGGCATAAAGCAACACTGGAAAAAAAATCTAAGTTGCACTTAGTATTTTAAATTGTAATTAGAATTTGTAGTTTCATTTAATAAAGCATTGGTGGACTAATAAGTTAGAACATTTTGTCTTTTATTTTTAGGATAAAACTCTTATTATGACTGTTAGCTTGAATGATCTAATTATATATATTGACTATTCACCAATAAATGCTTTCAGTATTAAAGGAAAAGTCCTTTGTACAGAGTTTTACCTTTGTACAGAGTTTTAAAATAAAGTACCTTAATTTTAATATGAATCATCAGTTTCTGATAGAATATTTCGATATGTTGCTTAAAAGAAAGAGTGGCTATCACTGTGTGATTTTAAATGATGCCATATATGTTCTGTGTTTTGCTAACTTTCTAGAAGGATATAATTCAGCCTCAGAATTCCAATCTTAAAACAGTGCTGTGTTAAAAATATACAAATAAAAAAGTAAAAACTCTCTCTAAGAAAAAGAAAAAAAATGGACAAAGAAAAATACAGGCTCACTTTTGTAATATATTCAAAAATACAGGCTCAAATTTGTAATATATTCAATGAATGCTTTAGGTATGTCTGAAGCTATTGACTCACATTGTGTTGGACTGAATCATTTCTTTTTTTTTTTTTGGAGAGGTTTTTTCTATAGGGCACG